ATTTGTCACAAGGTATGTCTTCTACATCAGTGTATGTATGATCTGTGCTTATATTGAAAGTGACATAGTGGCTGTGTTTTATTTTATCATGAATTCTGAAGGCTCGCTTGCCAACCTAAAGCTTACTGCCCTGCGCACGGTAGCCATTGGTCTCACTTTGACTCTCAGTTTCAGTACCTCTATGCACATCATTCGCAAGCTTACTAAGCCACAGGAATCTTTATTTGAGGGGCTGGCAGAAAAGTGAGGTACTCTAATTTTCTAGCTGTCTCCGTGACAGGCATTTTCCATATCTGATCATTCAGTGCTTTTTGACGAGTGAATAGTGAATGTCTTCGGTTTCTTTGCGACAGTTAAGCCTGGTTTGCAAAAGACTACTGCATGCCCGTATAGTGCTTTTCCTTATCTGGCTTAAGGTCATTCCACTGAAATAGAACCGGCGCTGAGATTTTTGTCAAACTTTGCCTATTGACTGTTTATATTGTAGGAACTTAAATTTGTAAATAAAAGTGACGGATCCCCATGTTCGTTTAGGAGCAACAGCACCTTGTTTATACGATATAAATCTTTACAATAGCACCATGATTATAGTCACTATTGCTTGCTAAAATCACGTTTCCGACGATTGTTTCTTGCTCAACACTGAGAATTGGCCCATATTTATTTTACATAGAGCAATTTATTACTCAATTCAACACAACGGAAAAAAATGATAGGTCACCGTACTCGTTTTCGAGAAAATGACGATTTACTTCTATGGTGAGGTCCAGCCGCAAAGAAAAAGCCGCCATTTTTTAATGCGCGCGCGCTAATCACGCATGAAATTATGTGCAGTAGGGATGCGCAATGCAATACTGGGGAATGACCTTAATGGCTTATGCGCTAGTGAAAACCAGGCCTCAAGCAATGTTTTTGTCAGTGAAAAGATGCGTTGTGCAATCTTCAAGGGTTTAGAATAGAAGAAACTTGCCGGGATTGTCCTTGATTTTCACTCATTTCGCGATGCTTCTTGATAGTAATTGTGAGAAAGCTTTCAGTTCTCCAGATTTGAAATGCCTTTGTCACATAGGTTTATATCATTAACTGATTCTATAATTTAACAAGACTTTTCGCTGCTAAATTTGTTCTGACGCAGACACAGTCCTGACAGTTGGAGTTACGTTGAATTCATATATCAGAACAATACATTTTTGTGTTAAACATATTTAGATCTTAGCATAGTGTAACGATGATTGATAGCTGTGTTGTAATTAAGAAGAGTCACACAGTGACAAAAATACTGTAAAGTCAAATGTTATAGAGACTATGCAATAATTGGTTCTTTGTGTTAATTCCAAGAACACTGGTAATTACAAGTATTGTATACGCAAGGTTCTTGTATTTGCTGCAGTGCATATCACATTTTATTATAACCTATATTTAGATTTTATTGTATCATATCTATAGAGATTATTATTGATTACAAGTTGTTAGACTAGATCTGATGCTCTGTATTCAAAGGTTATCCTTACTAAATAAACTTTCTTACTTTTGGCATAAAATATGGTATGTGTGTTTATACCCAGTGAAGGAAAATGGTACAGGGCTTAGCAAACTTTAAGGTCCTGGATTCAGCAAGATTTTTGTTTAAACGATCCAAGAACATTGGGAAGCATCTTCAACCGCTGGCACACCTTACGATCAGTTATGGAGCCGGGCTGCGTAAACACAACATGCCAATAAGAAACTGAAAAGCTTCTCTAATTCAGATTTGAGGTAAAACAGTGATGAACAATCAATATTTCGTTGTAAAACTACGAACCCTACACTGGGGCAAACAGTTTGATTTCTGCATGTAGTCTAGATTACGGATATATTCGCCTTGCTCCGAGAGTTTTTCTCTGGGTTCTCCAAATTTCCTCCCTCAACAAAAACCAGGACAGAGGACCCGCATAAAAACCAGCCAAGGCTGATGTGGCTTCCTCTCTAAATATTGTAATTTATTTATTTAACAAAGGTCGCTGTTTTGTGCATAACTGAGCATAGCAAACAATTAGGGGCAAACGAAAAAAAATGATAATTACCTAGTGCGATTTCATTGGGTGTTTGCATAAGACTGCGATAGGTTGGTCTAGGGTGACCCCTTGACGGACATGACGATCGATACATGGTCGTTAATCGACCGAGGGTGGACGGCCTGCGTCGCGAAACTGGGTCGACTGACTTTCGATCGACACCGAACTTCGATATTGCGTCTGACTGGTGTAAATATAATTTAAGTGGTCGATGATATCTCGTAGGAATCAACAAAATTGACAGTACATAGACCGAAGATGGTATCGAATTTTCATTCCTTTATTTAAGAACCCTTGAAGAGTTTTCAGTAAATTTACATCGGGTTAGTGATTTCAGATTGATGATAGAGAGCTCAAGTACAGACGTTTCTGAGCCACGAACGTCAAAGAGAAGTCTATGTCCTTGCATGGGCGTATTTTCACCCACCCCACCCCCACTACCAATGATTAATTCCCCCCTTAAAGAGGAGAAAATTCGACTTTCGGTTTTTTCGTCCTTCTCTCGAAAACGCCTGTGCTTAAGCTGTTTAATATCTACTAGTATAGTTCGTTTTGAGCTAAATTAAAATTTAAAAGAAAGGCAACAGCATGGTGATAATTTATGATCTGGCCACTACACTCCTGTTTTCAACACATTCTCCATCTTCACACATCAGCCTGTTTCCCTCGCACGGGCAGTCAGAGTCTGATGAACATGAGCTCTTCCATATGCGGAAACACTGAAAAAGATAAAAAAAAAACATGTAAAATAATAATAACAAAATACCCCATTTATAGGTTAAGAAATGTTATGGCTGGAATAAACTGGTAAAATTTTTTAATGTTGCTAAAAATAGATGGTGCACGTGACCTTGACGAAAGTTTTACGACAAGTGAAGACTCCTGACCCACCAGTCACGTGATCAGATTGTGTGCCCCGTATAGCAGCTCTTGTCCCTGGAATTGAAAGTCTCAAAATCTCGAAGAAACAGTGATTTGTTTTTTTCAAGTGGTAGTTCTGGATCTGATCCTAATGGCATCAACCGTTTTCATTTTGCACGTAAATTAAAAGATATTATGAAATAGGGCTTACCGGTTTTCGTCGTATAATTTCATCCCAAAATGAGATATTTCTGCATTGATTCTGGTAATTGCAAATGAGATTTTCATTCTCAGGGCTTTGGCAATCGTAGTCTTCTTCGCATTCTCTTTCAGATCTCTGGAAAGAGACACCAATAAAATATAAGAGAATGTATTTTTTACTCTCCATTACTTAGCATTGTAAGAGCACAATTAGCTATGCAAATTTATGTGCCTTAATTCTCTAACAGAGTGTTCAATTCGATCGCAAGATGGCCAGCCTGATCTAAAACACTACTGAACCTTAAAACTGAGGAAAAACTATTACAACCTATTTCTAACCCTCTCTTAAAATTGAACAGAGAACCTTGCGCGGTTTATGAGCCCCCTGGGAGCCAGCGGCAGGTATATTTTGCAGGTTGCAGGTTGCAGGTTGCAGGTTGAAATTTAATTATAACTTCCCGCCAGGCGACCCTGGGAACAACGTTTATTCATGTCGCTGAACAAAAGAAACGAGGACTCCGAGAAAGAGAATGGTGCATTCCACAGAGAGTTATACGAGTTTATCGCGAACACTGAAAAAGAGAGCCTGTTGCAGGCTTTTGGCTCTTAAAACAAAGGAAATACGGTAAGCTTAGCAATCATATTACGAATGAAAACACTGGTTTTCATGTTTTTCGATAGTTCTAGCGTACTCCACTACCATCTTAAATTAAAGCCAGGAAAAAGATCACTTACGATAGCCATAACACTTACGGTTTCATCCAGAAACCTGGCCGTTGTAATAGTTAAACATACTAAAGCTGTCAATAACACCAAAGTCTTCATCATCTTGTCTGACTTGTGAGTTCCTGAAAGAAAGATGTCGGACGATAGTGTGAATCAGGTGACTACGCCGTTACTTCCGGCTAGCAAGGTAGAAATAGGACTCTGATCTATGCTTATGATCTGTAGATACAGTTGATCAGCAAAACGTTATGTGAAATCATATTATAAGGGGAAAGTGCCTCGCAGTCAGTAGCTAATACTTAAATTATGTCAGTTCATTTTCACTATAACAGAGGTGCTTGATTCTCAGTCAATCTGAATCGAGAAGAGCTGTCAATCAATTATGAGTACATTGACAGCCGACTGAGATTTGATTGGATCGAGCGACATAGGCACGTGACGGACAGAGTCTTTCGAAAAACAAATATTCGGTTTTATAATATAGCAAACTGGCTCACGATGAAACGTAAAACTACGAGCTAAACTACGGACCCCTGAAATGATCCACTTATGAATCAGTTTTGGCAAATTGCTTTTTTTCCCTCTCCGTGTCTGGCGGAAAATTATTTCTGGTTAAACTTTCGGTGGCCTACATAAAAAAGGAAAATTTCATTTTGACATTGGCGACGGGCGTATTAGCCAAGGATGGACGCGTTAGTTTACCACCGGAGTTTTTAAAAAGCTATTATAATATCTGCTTGTTGAACTAGCTTGTTCGTTCCATATTGTATTCAGGACAAATTGGTCCTCTTCTTTTTTTTCCTTTCCTTTTTTGTAAGTTAATAGTTCAATAGCGTCTATGTCTAAGTCGCGAATAGCAGACAAAAACTCAAACACCAATTTGGACGCCTGCCATTATCTAGTCCGATGTTGTGATTTTTTGTTTTACATCTGTGTTATTCAAAACGGAAAAAGCGATAGAACCATAAGGGAGACCTCCTGTACAAACATCAATGTTAGTCTAAATCTAGCAGTCTGTATTTATAAAACAGTCACAGCAGGAGGCTGATTTCTGTGACTGTCTCCTTTTTTTCAGCAGAATGGAGATTCGCGATAAACTGTTAACATACGTCATGATTTTCACACAGGAACTGTACAAAAAACACATGAATTTTGTCTTATGCCATAAGGGTACAGAAAACATTTATTTTACACCCTGATTCTACCGTGCCAACGAAAAATTAGAATGTCTCGCGGCTATTTTGTGGCACAAATTTTTCGCTTTTATGTACGTCGTCTTTTAAGTTACGTAGAATTGTTGACTTCAAATCTCACAGACACGCACTCTACACTACCACACCGATAATTTAAGATTACATCTGCCCCACCTTCGAATGAAAAGGAAATTTATGGCATTGCAATCATGTCAGATCTAATGGATTACCTTCGTACCTTGGTCTCAAATAGTCTCGTCAAAGTCTTATGATAAAGCTTTGCCGGCCCTGATTTCAATCAGCTGAATCGTTCACAAAGACTAAGAGGTGGATATTATAGCCCCGCTAACCGAAAGCTTGCAATGATTTTAATTAAACTAATTGATTTGCAGCGAAATATTTTCACTTTGATAAACAAACTTTAGGACAAAAAAAGAACGATTGCTTGAGAGTTAAAAGGGTTCTGTGCAGCTGTGAGGCGAAATGGCATGTTAATGATTTTGGCACTGGACAAAATTACGTTCATTTTCATATATGGTTGCATTTCACTCCTGTGCGATCCTGAAATTGTGGGGGTTTTTTTTAAAGAAAAGGCCAGACGTGCCAACGAAGAAGCAATTTATTAAGTGACAAACTTATTTTAAACTGAAAATTCTAGTTGTATTTTAGTCGTATAGTTTTCCCCGCAAAGAAGTAATAAAAAAGTTGCCGCAATCTTCATTTCAAACCAACAGGAAATTAAAATTTTAAGCAACTATGGTTAGTTAATTTGTGTTGCCGTAAGGCTTTTGGTAAATGAAAATTGAAGGAGGTGTTGCTTTCTAAAAGTGGCGCCAGCTATTGTAATGCATTTTGCATTTCTCACGAACAAAGAGTATGTAAAAAACGCAGCTGAAATAAGTCTACAAATCATGCGAACATCTATTTCGGTTGCCGTCTACGAGCAAGTGTTAGCAAGTTAACTATATGTTAGTATCTTGAAGAAGAATATTGTCAAAGTATTCTTATAGCAGTGTATTTTCGAACGGTGCTAGATGATCTACGGCTAGCTATAAGAGCAAAATTTTTGTTTCGATTACATTTGCGTGAACAAAACTGTAGTAATTAAAGTCGGTACAGTTTATTACAATGAGCGACAGGAAAACTAATCAGGAAGCGCCTCGTTAGTTAAACGAATACTACAAGAATAAAGAACTCTATTCAATTTTAAAACCTCTCTTTATAAATCAATAACGTACTGGGAATCAGAATCAAGAGGAGGATATAGTAAAGACGCTAAAATCAGAGTGAGCTAGTAACTGTTATCTTTGAAATGATACAGCTTTTTTGTAAACCCACTTGGTGTTGCTCTTCTCAAGCTTAATATAATGAAGCGAACGAGTTCGGCCATTTTACTTTGTTTTCCTGCTTTTTGGGAGAAAAAAAACTGCCTGTTTTGCACTGTTTAAAAGATGACCACCACACTATTTCGTAATGGGCTGTTGTTCGCAGATTGAAAATGATAATTTAAAATCTTGATTTCTAGTTTAAAACAACTGCAAGTTCAGTCTTACCGGTACCCTTTTTAGAAATTAAAATTGTAGCATTAATCTCTTTTGGATAAGAAACAGAATAAACGTAGTTGAGACCTTTAGGCAATAACAGGGGCATAAGGCCAAGCCGATTTGTCTTACCTTAGCTTGATTAAGGGCTTTAGTTGAATCGTCCGTCGTTTTCCGCTGTAACTGGCTTTGTTTCGATTCCGTGGAGTTTTAAAACAGGATTACGTGCTTGTTTGCGTAAATTAAGATAAAGGCCCCCACACTATGTCTTAAATAATAACATGTTTGTAGCGTTTTACGTCAATACCAAGTTACCATTCTTTTCCCACCTATGGGAAACTGTTATAGAAAAGTAGAAAATTAGGCGAATTGGGAGTTTAACAAACGATCCGTTTATCTAAATACCTCGAAAGAGAACGAGCCGTGCTAATATTCCGTCGAGAAGTTTCAGTGCAGTTTTTTGACAAACGAATTTATCAATCTCAATTTTACCGTTCTGTTTATAATTAGAGATTACACAGCCAAATCTGTCGATATTGGCCTCGACGTACAAAAGCATACACTAGTGATTCATCTTATTTCAGAAATTGAGAATCTTTTATCTGATAAGTTATACAATATTTTTATTCACTCTTCGTTATTTTATTTTGGCTCGTTTTACGATTGGCATCAAAGAGCAAGTTCCCTTTCCGCCTGCCAAATTTGAATATAAATCTTAAATACAGGCACGAACCCAAACAGCTTTACAAACATTTTTTGTTTTGTTGCAAAATTGTCAGAGTTTTTATTTTAAATACATCAGATTTTCTTTTGTAAAACGTCAAAAGTTGTCAAACTTTATACGATTCGCCGCTTCAAAGTTTGCTTGTTCACTGATATGACCCTAGGGTTTATTTATTATTTGATATCCAGAATTTTATTTCGTTGATGTCAAGAGTTTCTATTCCTTCTTCAGGCCGTGATTGGCGTTAAAGATGGTAGCAGCCTTGTAACTAAAGCCAGGAACTTTTATATTACGAAGTAATTGTGCTTTGAAAGAAAAATATGTCATTGGTCACATTAAAAATCTGCTCCTTGAGTAAATATCTTTCTCACTAATAAAACCAACTTTTAGCACAGTTTGCTTTAATTTTAATCAAACACGCCTAGAGCCCTGATCTAAAACACTTTCCCAAAAACTCCTTTATTTTAATATGGATCAATTTAAATGCGCAAAGCTTTGAAATAGTTTTAAAATTTTAACTTGGAATCTTGTTTGACAGCTCAAAATATCAAGGTAATAAATTAATTTGATCACAAATCGATTCAAGGAGAATTTTTACATATGTGAAACACAAAGAACAGACCTTTTCGAGCATCGTTTACAGAGCAATTTACAAAAAAGAAAGCCTTGCGTCATATTGATAAGACAACAACTGATGCAACATTTTAAATCGTCACTTATTGAATGCTAGAACTTTTACACTTAACTTTCTTAACCTTAATTTTTTTTAGCCATTAATAAAGCATACACCGCACCGTTTGACCAATCGATTTTGAGGTTTTTTTATACTTTTTTTCAAACAAACCTTTACATTGACAATGGCTTCCGTTGCCTTAAGAAACCAAACTCAGTTGTGAGAACGAGACATCATTCGTCTATTTAATTCACTGATTTCGCAAAAGATTAAACTTTCATTTACATTCTTTAATGCTTTTTTAGCCTACTGGTTTTTAATCGCTTTGTTGTCGTTTCTAGAAGTAATATTTTTTATTTTATTTTTATTTTGTCACACTGAAGAAACTTCGAGAATGATTGCTTATAAAGTCGCAATTAGCGACGATTCTAAGGGCACAAAGAAATCGCCCGTGCATATATTGTCTGCTGTTATGACTTGTCTCATCAATGCTTTTTTATCGTGCCATCTTGTGTTTATATAGACTTTAAAAAAAAAACTTAAGTTTGCTAAACTAATTAATACGTTTCAACGGAACTTACCATATCCACATTAAACGACACCTAAATAGAAGCAAAACTGTAAACTTCTAACGTCAATGCACGGACAAAGAAAATATGTTTCTTTTTAACTTCCATTTTGACTGTAAACTGATCACATATATAAATAGATAAGGCAACGGGCCTTTTATGTGTTTCGTCAGCACTTCCATTAATGCAAGTTGAGTAATCATGGTTTTTATTTCCTGGAGGGAAGTTGAATATTGATGGTTATTTACCGAACTCCAAGCAACTATGGCCAAAAAAGACTATGAGTAATGGTCTTAAATAAGACTTCCGTGCAGGCCCTCTGAAGCGACAAAACTGCGGACCGATGGCAAGTATAAGTTCATCGGTAGTTTAACTGCCTGAAAATGGTCATCATAAATAGCAATTAGGACCATTTCAGGCATTGAGAACGCGCCAATACAGAATCAAGTATCTGACACAGTGCAGTTTTTGCAGTGGTCACCTTGACTGTTACCCTTTTGAACCGGACGTTGAGAGCATTTTGTAATCATTAAAATCTAGATGTTTTGCTTATGCTGATGCTTATACTCTTAAAAAAAGTCAAAACAACCTAATATTGGTAAGGATTATGGCCTGAGGTAACTTGATAAACGGATGATTCTGTATGTGCATGGGCGTCAGTCGTCTTCTTCCTTTTTTCTCAAAATTTTTCTGCCGAAGGCTTCTTTCGTTTTTAATTCGTGGATCTCTACAAAGGTTGATTGACACCCGTATTCTGTTTAATCAGAAAATTTTTTTTGTTATTGAAGAAACAGCACCAGCTATTTCATTGAATTAACGAAAGAAAGACATAAATTAATTGTAAACTTTACATCTTCCTTTCTAGGCTTAAGCTGGAATGCCCTAAAGTGAAAGTAGCTTTTGACTTATATTAAATACCATTTTGTCTTTTTAGACGTAACGAAATCATTCACCATTGAATAATTCACTCAGATGCGCCAATGGCCGTGGCCTTTATCGCTTAAAGCCTCAAAACAACTCTAAAACATAAAACTCAAATAGCGTTCACAAATGTTAGGCCGAGAATACTGACTAGTTTGTGTTGTTTCCACTGTTTGTCGGCTATTGTAAAACTGGTACAGGGATGGTGCAAAATATGTTACATGTATACGGCAAATCCGATCATGCATAATTCCCTTAAAATAACCCGAAATATAATCTCTACTGAAACTGAAGGCACCTTGCCAAACATTTCACTAGTGAAATCTAACACCGACTTGAAGGAAACGTTCAATGCAGTTTCACCTTTCCAGTGTGACAAAAACTGTTAAAGTTCATAATTTTCGCTAAAAATGTCTGGGGTAAAACCCATTTGTCAATAGGTGTTTCAAAACCAGGGCGAGTGTTCCAAGCCCGTTTTGACGAGGGGCCTTTGGCTCACGTTGATTCACGCAGAAACCAGGCCGTAAGATTTACGTTATCATGAGCAGAAGTCATCCCCGTTTTCAATAATAAATCTACGTGCCTCGTACTAGTTTTCCCAAAGCCTTTCTAGTTTTCCCAAACACTCCACTCGTGTTTCTATAATTCCGTATAAACATGGAAGTGTTTTTTTATTCTTTTAATTTCTTAAAAAAGAAATCGCTTAATTATTACAAAAACACCTTGTAATTTACAACAGGAAAGCGCGGGAATTCTTGTCTAGTACCAGCTTCCTCTATTTGATTGGAATTGCACTGGAAATGGGGACTGACGACTAGAAACCATGTTTCCTTTAAAAAACGCGAAATTGATGTATTCACAAGTCTTGATATCTTGGTCCTGATTGGTTAAAAACGTTCTTCAAGTTTAACCAATGACAGTGCAAATTAAAGAAACACAATAATACTCTGGGAAGATAATAGAAAAAAAAACTTAAATTATTAGGAACTGTAAGGAGATACCAGAAACAGTAAAAGAAACACGTTTTTTTGTTCGTTTTTACTTTTTGTCATTTCTGCATTTTTTAATTCTGGTTTTACGTTACACATCGAACGCTGAACAATTTAGCCCTCAAACCCTGTGCGCACGGTTATTCTCATTTTGTTCCTTGTTGAAGATAGCAATCAGTGTTTAATATCATGTTTCATTTAGGATTCGCACATGCCATGCAGCATACTCGCGTACACTCCAACACAACACTACTGATGTGGTAAGGAGGATCTAATCGTATATTGTAACTAAAATAATTACGATGGCGAACGAATCAGAGGTAACCACGTAGAGTAAACCACGCCACTATTAAGTGCTTTTGTTCTCATTGGAAGAGAAAAAAATAGAAACAGATCGTTGTGTTTTAGCTATCTAGATTATCTAGATTACACAGGCAGCCAGAAGACAGAAGCTGAAACAACTGATAGTTGTACCAGGCCGTGTTTGTGCATGATACAATTGAAAGTTGGTCTACTTCCAAAAAGGCCTCGCTTTTTTCACGTAAAACACTTTATGGGCGGACACCGGGTGCGCCCAACATTGCTTGCAGCATGTTCCACTTATATCCGAGCCTTGATCCTTTTATTGATGTCTTGACATATCGAATATCTCTTGCATCCAGCCGTTTTGTGGCCTACCTGCTGTAAGAAAATCGGCTCATCTCTAAACTCGTTATTTGATTTACGAAAGAAATCAAGCCAATGTACGACCCATGCGATACCTCGAGACACCCGTTCAAAGCCGACGATATTTCGCAAAAACTAATTTGTACTCTTTGCACCAGAAATGACAAGGCACTTCAATCAACTTTGGCGACCTTTGATGTCAGCTGCATAAGAGTAGTTTGACACGTTTCTCAATGATGTATCAGAGATAGTGAAAGGTTTGCAAAGACCTAATTTGCTCCTTTGTCTGATAGATAACAAACTTTTGGGCGGACGTGTCGCTGACCATCAAAAAGTGAAGAACAGAAAAACATGTTTTAACTCCTTTAATTACGCGCCGTTTGGGTTGTTCTTCTATATAATTTTAGCACAGCATTCAGTACTTTCTGTTCTATTCTCTGTGTTATGTTAAGGGCGGCGTTATTTTCTGTACGTTTGATAATGCTACCGAAATATTCTGTTGTGAAATCAGTTCTTGCTTATACTTACGTTTTTAGTATGTTAGAGGTCCTTTGATGTGATCATTATCTCGTAGGCAGTTTGCTGTGTAGGCTTTTTGTTTGCCTACAGCTGACATTTTTTATACATTTGAATCAATTTTATGTCTATACGAGAAGATTGCGTCTTGACATTTCTTTTCAAACCTTTTTGCTGATGGCTTTTACTTCAAAGTTATCAGGATCATATGATTTTTTTTTAAGTTTTTTCTTTTTTGTTGAGTTAATCGTCTTAAGCTTCTCAAGCTTGTAATGAATGATTGGTGGTCTTTATAATACAAATTCTCCTTTATGTG